ACTCACTCGAAGGTGATCCTGTTCTCCAGCCGCACTTCCTGGTCCGCCAGCACCGCGCAGTCCTGATCCAGAACCAGGGCCTTCTGCGGACACCAGGCAGGGTCTGAGTCCCTCCCACGCCCAACCCTCCCCTGGGGTCTGAGCGAACACCTTCACTTCGTGAGCCTGGGCTCCCTAGGGGGAGGGCAGGCGGGTGGGAGCGCTGCAAGGGAGACAGTTATTGCTATTATTTTGAGTCGGAGTCTCCCTCTGTCGCCCAGGCTGAAGTGCAGTGGCACAGTTCACAGCCACCGCTGCCTCGACCTGCTGGGCTCCGGCGATCCTTCCGCCTCAGCCTTCCAAGTAGCTGGAACTACAGCCACGCGCTACCACGCCCAGCTAACTTTTTGATCTGTTGTAGAGATGAGGTCTTGCCATGTTGCCCAGGCTGGTCTGGAACCCCTGAGCTCAGGCGATCCTCTTGCCTCGGCCTCCCAAAGTGCTGGGATGACAGGTGGAACCACTGTACTCGGCCAGGGAGCAAATTCTTAAGGGACTAGGGTGGAGTCAGAACCTGGTGTTGCCAGGAAGTCATTCTTGGGAAAGGGCAGGAGGTACGGAAACATAGCTGTGCGCATGAGGTGGCGATGGGCTGTGTGGTCAGGGGCAGGCTGGGTCCCAGATCTCTGGCCTATTCTCCGTGGACCAGGACAGGACCTGCCCCCTGGACAGCTGCCCCATGCCGCTCAGGCACCTGAACCCAAACCAGACAGACAGCTGCATGCCTTTCTTCCATCACCACCCACCTGTGGTCAGCCCGCCAGACCTTGTCTCATTTTTGACATCTGCCACTTCTCTCCATTCCCTCCTACTAAGAACACTTCTGGTCTCCTCACTGCAAAAGGGGCCCACCCCCCAAAACTGCTGTGAGGCCAGAGGATGTGAAGCATCTGGCACCATGCCTGGCACACGGTAGGTGCACACACTGCAAATGTGGTGATTCCTGCCCGTGGAAGTGCCGCTGCCTCCTCCAGCCGAGAAGCGGGGGTGGGGCAGCTCTCCCAGGCAGTAGGCCTATGCTGTGCTCAGGGACAGGTGGAGTGTGGGTGGCAGAGTTATATTTAGTGGGCATGAAAGCCCATCTGGGCCCCTGGCAGCCACCCTGACGGCCTGAGAGAGTGGGCAGAGCACCTCTCAATACTGCCCTCGCATCCCTGAGCTCCAGGCCCCTAGGCCCTGAATGTGCCCATCTCCAGGGTTTCCCTTAAGCTGTTCCCTCTGCCTGGAATGTCCTCCCCACAGCTCTGCCAGGCAAACTCCTCTGCATCCTCATCAACTGCTGCTTCTTCTATGAAGCCTTCCGGACATCAGCCCGAAATGCCTACTTCCCCCAAGAGATGCTATCTGGACGTTTCACTTCTCCCTGATCACATCCAGCCTGAGGGTCTGGAGGACAGCCCCAGGTCTGGTTCCCTCTGCCCACCCCCCTAGCAGGGCCTTCGGACTTGTCTCCTAGGTGAATGAAATCCTGTGGGTCCCCGAAGTGCAGACTCTTGCTTTCCCCCACGCTGGGTAGTTTAAAGCCAGTGTTTTCCTAGGCTCTTTCTTAAAATTCAGTGCTAGTCAGCATCTGCAGGGGAGAAGTCCCTTGGTTAGATCAACTGGCTGGCCTAGAGGCGGAGGAGGTGAGGTCCCCTCGGTGGCCACATCAGGGATGGGTCTGTGGTGACAGCAGTCTGAACTCCGGGAGTCATGGGGAAGAATCCCAGCTCCAGCAGTGGTTCTCCCCAACTTCTCCCCGAAACCACCCCAGTAGGATGATGGCTGAAGCTGGGAACTGGGATGGGCATGGGGTGGGGGATGGGTGGGCGTCTGCGTCAGAGTGAGGACTGGGTGCTGGGTTGAGCTGGGCTGGTTTGGAGTTGGGCTTGGGGACGGGGTGGGTGGTGGTGGGGGCTGGAGTTAGGAAGGGGGTGATGATGGAGGTTGGGGTTGGAATTAGGGTTAGTCTAGGGGATTAGGGATGGAGGTGGAGTGGACTCATGAACCAGCAGAGGCAGGAACAGACTTGGAGTGAGGATCAGGAAGGAGGTTAGGGTTGGGGCCAGGCCAGCTCCACACCTGCTCATTGCCCACCAGGTAGACCTTGATGTCAGGGAGAGAGAGGCCTCGTTTCTCACAGATCCCCGCCAGCATGTCGCGGATGGTGAGGCCGGGTCGGGCCAGGGCCAGGGAGGCCGTGCCATCGGGCAGGTACACACAGCAGTACTTCCCCGGCCGGCTTTCGCTGTCGCCCTCAGAGCTCCCAAGGCTCTTCCGGTGGCTCTGGTTTGGGGCAGGAGTGAGGGGAGGTTATGTGCACACATGCGAGGGCATGCAGACAGGTGCACACAGGCAGGTAAGTGCACTGGGGCTCCAACACGCGGGCACACACAAGGGCACATCTGCAGACAGGCAGAGATATATCCTCCTGCAAACACATGTATACACACCCAGGCCTACGTGCACCCACAGCGGCACCCACACACATGCTGGTACACCTGGCGCCTGCACGTGCACACACATCTGCCGTCGGAGGATGTGCACCCACGACAAACATGGGGACCACTGTGGTGAGGACAGAGAGCAAGAAAGCAGCAGAAGGGTGTCCACACAAAGCAAGACAGGAGACCTCAGTGGCGACAGCGACTGGGATGCCGGCGACCATGCAGAGGCCTGAGTGGTGGTCGTAGCCCATAGAGCCCCTGCCTCCCTCCAGCAGTCGTCTCACCTCAGATTTGCTGCCGGCAAAGGCAAGGAAGCCAAGGTCCAGACTGGCGGAGGAGTTGAGCGAACCCTGAGACTCCCGGCGCAAGGCGGAGTTCGCGGCCCCGCCCAGCTCTAGGGAAGAGGGAGCTGAACGCAACGAGCCCCTGCTGGAAGGCTCACCATCCCTAGGCTGCAGCCTCTCCCCTCCCGGCGGCCGCGTCCGGAGCCCTCCTGCAGGGCCCCCACGTGGTTTGGGTCCCTGGGAGCGTCGCCACCACGGGAGCTCTACGAACGTCTGTGGTCTGGCCTGGGAACCCAACCGCCCACGAGAATGTGGAGGTCACAGGAAACTCGCAGACTTACAGACTCGACTGCCTGTGGGCCGAGGGGGAGGAGGAGGAGGGGGCGCTCCGAAAGCCGGGCCGAGCTCCCGCCCCCCCCCGTGCCG